TACATACATACATATACATGTATGTATTCGTAGCCTCAATATAGCCTCCATTTCCTACATACCTCGTCTCGAATGCGGTAGAGGATGAGTTGGGGAAGGGCAGGTAGTACGCCTGTAGCAGAACTGCGTTGATCAGTGCTCGGTTGGTGTAGTTGCGCAGCAGGTACAGTCGCATGACGAACCACAAGCCGTATCTGGCCTCAAGCATTTGCTGCAACCACGGCAGGATAACCTCTTCTTGCAGCTGAGAAGATACACGCGTGGTTGAGTACGCGCATTAGCCGGAAGAGAGAGAGAGTGCGTGTATGAGAAAGAGAGAGAGAGGGAGAGAGAGAGTGTGTGAGTGTGTGAGAGAGAGTGTGTATGAGCTAGAGAGAACGAGAGAGAGAGCGTGTGTGTGTACGTGTGTGTGAGTGAGAGAGAGAGCGTGTGTGAGTGAGAGAGAAAGTGAGTGTGTGAGTGCGAGTGTGTGTATGAGCGAGAGAGAAAGAGAGATAGAGCGCATGTGTACGTGTGTGTGTGTGTGTGTGTACGTGTGTGTGTTTGTATGAGTACGTGTGTGTGTGTGTATGTGTACGTGTATGTGTGTAAGTGAGTGAATGGATGAGTACGTGTGTGTATGTGTAAGTGAGTGAATGGATGATTACGTGTGTGTGTGGATGTGCATATGTATCATGATACGTATGGGGCGGGCTGCAGGTCGTATCTGGCCTCAATATAGAGCTGTCAGATGTAATCACGGCAGAAGTTCTGCGGCTGGATGTATTGCACACGTGTATGTATGAGGTTTGTTACAGCTAACTGACCAAGTGCGTGTGTGCACATGTGTATATATGAGGGTTGTCTTCTGCTATCTGACGGAGTGGGTGAGTCGGAACACCACACATACGCGCCTGAGGCACGCCGGTGCCTATTTGCCCACAATAACTGTCCAACACATCTCTATGGGTTTAAGGTTCTAGGGTTCTAGGGATTTAGTGTTTTAGGGTTCCAGGTCTAACCCGTGGGTAGCGGTGCACCTCAGTGGGCAGCGCAATAGACCGGGCTCACGAACAAAAAGAAGAGACAAGCACTTCAACAACAAACGCACGTGGCAGAACACAGACAGTCGCATGCACTAGCAGCGCTCTCGCAATAGGTTCACGAACAAAAAGAAATGATAAGAACTTCAACAACACACGCACGTGGCAGAACACAGACAGTCGCATACACAAGCAGCGCTCTCGCAATAGGCTCACGAACAAAAAGAAGTGACAAGCACTTCAACAACACGCGCATGTGGCAGAACACAGACAGTCGCATGCACAAGCAGCACTCTCGCAATAGGCCCTGAACACCCAGCCCTATACATTGGGCCTGATACACACTTTGTTTGGAGGTTGAATGTGCTTAAAAGTTTATGCACCAACCCTGAGATGCAACCCCTGAGTGGTCAGTATGACAAGGTACTAGCCCACAGAAGAGGTCAATACCATCGTACTGGGACAACAACAGGGCCAATATACTAGGACAGATAGAATAAGAGCGCACCAATTGTATATACGAGATACCAGCTGATGTCGGACACACCTTGAATGGACAATACTTGAAGCCCGCCGTCTCTTCGTCAACCACTGCACCTGTAAGCTTAGGAATGTACCGTTCTTGACCTGGAATGGGTTTCATAACCGCGCGGGGGGCTGTGTATGAACTATGTGCAGAAAGTGCAAAATAGTGTGTCATAGATAACTGCTGTGAGTGGTATATATATTTCAAACAGTGACGGAGTGTGATTGTAAACTTATGGTACATGGTTTTACCTAGGTGATATATATATACACACACCACACACACACACACACACACTATATATAAATACTAAAC